GGTGACACCAAAAATACACCTGGGGACACTCTGGGGACAGCTGGGGACACAGGGGACAGATGGGGATGGCTGGGGATGGCTGGGGACACCCCTGAGGACAGCTGGGGACACACCTGTCCCCCATCCCCTGTCACTGTCACACCTGTCACATTTGTCACACCTGTCCCCATTTGTCACATTTGTCACACCTGTCACCGTCCCCCTGTCCCCTCTGTCACTGTCACACCTGTCATTGTCACTGTCACCTATCACTGTCACATTTGTCACTGTCCCCGTACCTCTTTGCTGGTGATGAAGGTCATGAAGACGTCGTCGCTCACCCTGTCCCTGTCCCTGTCCCCTGTCCCCTGTCACTGTCCCCTGTCATTGTCACATCTGTCACATTTGTCCCATTTGTCTCATTTGTCCCATTTGTCACATTTGTCCCATTTGTCCCATTTGTCCCATTTGTCACACCTGTCCCTGTCCCCGTACCTCTTTGCTGGTGATGAAGGTCATGAAGACGTCGTCGCTCACCGTGTCCCCTGTCCCTGTCCCCTATCCCTGTCATTGTCACATTTGTCACATTTGTCACACTTGTCACACTTGTCACACTTGTCACACTTGTCACACTTGTCACTGTACCTCTTTGCTGGTGATGAAGGTCATGAAGACGTCGTCGCTCACCGTGTCCCTGTCACTGTCCCTGTCCCCTGTCCCCTGTCACTGTCACATTTGTCACATTTGTCCCATTTGTCCCATTTGTCCCATTTGTCACATTTGTCACTGTACCTCTTTGCTGGTGATGAAGGTCATGAAGACGTCGTCGCTCCCCTGTCCCTGTCACTGTCCCCTGTCATTGTCACTGTCACATTTGTCACATTTGTCACATTTGTCACATTTGTCACATTTGTCCCATTTGTCCCATTTGTCACATTTGTCACATTTGTCACCGTACCTCTTTGCTGGTGATGAAGGTCATGAAGACGTCGTTGCTCCCCTGTCCCCTGTCCCCTGTCCCTGTCCCCTGTCACTGTCACTGTCCCCTATCCCTGTCATTGTCATTGTCACATTTGTCACATTTGTCCCATCTGTCACATTTGTCCCCGTACCTCTTTGCTGGTGATGAAGGTCATGAAGACGTTGACGCTCACCGTGTCCCTGTCCCCTGTCCCTGTCCCTGTCACTGTCACATCTGTCACATTTGTCACATTTGTCACATTTGTCACTGTACCTCTTTGCTGGTGATGAAGGTCATGAAGACGTCGTCGCTCACCTGTCCCTGTCACTGTCCCCTGTCATTGTCACATTTGTCCCATTTGTCACATTTGTCACATTTGTCACATTTGTCACATTTGTCCCCGTACCTCTTTGCTGGTGATGAAGGTCATGA